TGTTGGAGAAACCCAGAACCAAAATAAAATAAGGTTTATGTAGATTGTTTAATAAATTTACAATATGAAACAAAAAAGCTTCTTGGGTTTTGATATGGTTTGTTCTACAAAATCATGTCACATTTTTAATGCGCAATTCTGGTGTAATTTTAACAACTTAACACAGGCCAGTAATCTTAATCTAAATATTATGACTAAAGTTTGATGTCGAATTAAAATCCGGCGAGGTTTCCTAGCCCATGCTTAGCCTAACCAAGAAGGGGGTGTTTTATAAATTGACGGGCTTGTTTGAGATTGTCGGTAAACAATGAGTGTTTGGTCCTGAATTGGGACGGCATGTCACTTGTCAATTACTTGCGTAAGCTAAGTGAAATTGACAGCTAGTCCCTGTCACTTGCACGTAAGGAGGTCGCTTCGGATACATCACGCCTTAATATTTAAAAAACTCGGCGTAGGTGTGAAATTTTTTGTTGAACAAGCAGCAAGATTCCAGATCTATCATGCGTCATACGAACTCGCCTGGCACGGTTCCCCAAGGCTCATCCCAGCGCACTTGGGGGTCCATTGTTATTTTGGTATATTTCAAGTTGTTGAAAGTTTATAGAAATGCAATAAAATTGGCTTCTGTCAGTTTGTATTTATTCATTGTATTTATTTATTTATTTGATGCCACTACATCTTTCAGTGGCACTCACAAACTGTGGTGCGGTCTTACAAGTTACAGAGTACGCAAGAATTTGAAGGAAAACGATCTTAACTAAAATATATTGCGATTTGATTATTATATAACATATAAAGTCCTATATAAATAATAGTAAAACAGGTCTTCCTCTAACTAAAGACCCCTCCAATTAAAGACCACCTCCAATTACAGACCACTTTTCTGTGGTCCCAAATTAAAAAATGTCTTTTATTTTTATTATTCTAATTAGAGACCAAAGCAGCTAAAGACCACGAAAATCCCGGTTTCAAAAGTGGTCTTTAATTGGAGGGAGACCTGTATTCATATTAAGTTTGCTGTATAGTACAGTAAACACTAATAATGTACGGGAACTGTTATCATTATTTATCTATTTGTTTATATATATATATATATATATATATATATATTATAAATATAGGTATATATATATACATAATAATATATATTAGTTTGAAGCTATGACAACTTCGATTGAGGTGCAAAATTGACACGTCTAAAATATTTTAAACTTAACGAGTCACATATATATAATTATATATATATACATAATAATACAATTAGTACTATATTATGTAAATATGTGTAATATTATGTACTATTATATAATAACTATGTACTATACATATGCATATATATACATAATAATAAAAAAAATAATAGTGATAAGTAAAAAATCTAATTTAAATCTGTAATGAAATTGTAGGTGGAGTTTCAATCATTTCTTATGATAGTGGCATATGTTACCGTACTTTTCAATCTTCCTAGGAACTACTCTTTATTTTTTATTTTCTTTTGTAAACGTGTGAATTGTTTTGGTTTGTAATTGTTTTCCTGAATAAATAATTAAAAAAATAAATGCATACATACATACAGCTCTAGTTCTATTTCTGGCTGTTTACTTACCTCTAATTTTTAGCTGTTGTTTATCAAATTTGTATCTCTGCCGAGATCCAAATTGGTTTCATTGTTTACACATCATTGTTGTTTTTTAGTATTTTGCCTTTTGATAATATACTAATAAACAGTGTATACATATGTATATATATATATATGTATATATATTTATATATATATATAAGTATGTAACAGCTGAGATCCATCCATAAGGG